GTAAGGGGTGAGAGAGGTCTTTTAGAATCTTGGAGAAGTTAGCATGAGTCCAAATGTTTGCTGACCACAAAATCAATGAGGGTTTCTCTGCTTAATCCAAGGCATCAGGAAATAAATTTAGTGTTCGCACAATAAGAGTATAATCCTGTTGAAGTAGTCCCGGGGAAATAACAGGGGAACAGAACAGCCAATGAGGAGGAATATATGTATTTACAAACCTGAAAATTAGAGCACACGGTACGGAGAGCAATTTGAGCCCAAGAAAGATAAAAGGACAGTCTTCTGACTCTGAAAAGTTTCAAGAATAGGTGTCGACCAGGATAAATTATAGGACAGGAAAACACCAAGATACTTTACGGAATATGAAGGAGGAATGCTTTGGTCACTCACAACCAAAGGAGGAGAGGCGTTTAAAAACCTCAGTCTGTCGGGGTGGAGAAAAGAGTATGACATATCACAACATGCAGAAGGGTTCAGAGAGAGGAAACGTAACCTTGACCAAGTCATGAGTTCGTCTAATACTCGTTGGAGTTTCGAAGATCCCTTAATTATTAGGACGACATCGTCAGCGTATAGGCAGGGACTCAACAGAGAGAAAAGAGAAAGAGAATAGAAAAGATCCTTGTGAAAACCCAAGGTTTTGCTGGGACTGAGGAAGATTTTCTGCCCCATAACCATGTTAAGTGTATGCGATCCGTAAAATAGTCACGTATTACATTACATTCGTGTGGGAGAACGCCGTTCTCGTACAAAAGGTTGAGTAGTAGCGATCTGTCAAGTCTACCAAATGCATTAGTATAATCAAGGAACAGGAGCCGCACAGTTGCATTTTTTTATCTACGCCTAAAGCTGGACGTGTTGCAAATAAAACTGGACAGTTTATTTGGTGCAGAAAATGTGCAATTTGTTGGTAAATTTTGACGGGGAAGGCGACAGGACGATGTTCAGGCCACATTGCTGTCAGGCTAACATGCGAATTGTGCAAACAGCGGACGCTGGTAAGAGCCCTTCACTTGATCGCGAGGGTCGCTCCCCTCTTTCAAAGGCGGTGACCTAGCTTTCCCTTATTTCCCTTTCGACTTTCGCGTGTTCTGTTTCTCTCTCTCTCTCTCTCTCTCTCTGTGTGTGTGTGTGTGTGTGTGTGTGAAGCTGTGTGGTTGCGCGACTATGAGAAAAAGGTAGGCTCTTATGACTCCACCAAACCTTGACTAGGTTTATTAGCATACTGCTGCACGAACGGACCTAAATGAGCGACGCACGATGAGAAGGCGTATTTCCGAGACAATGACGGTGCAAGCAAACGTCATACACGTAGAAAGAGATCCTTACCAAGCTTGTGTTCGTCGATAGCCAAACCACTCCTGGAGCTGCTGAAGCCGCCGATGTCAAGGAGATCACGACAAGAAACATCATCAATGCCTACAAGCGAGAATGTATCCTTACTCAGAGCAACTGTGGAGGAAACAACAGGGAGACGCTGACTCCCGATATCCTGCAACATATCGAAGAGACCGTTGTACGGCGTTCGGAGGACACTTTGGTACAGATACAACAGCGACAGAAAGATAACGAGATCCACATTTCAGTATCTGCGCACAAGATGCGCCACTGCGAGCTAGATTGCGACTTATCGGTACACTCACCGCAGGACAAAGAGAGGTGTATATTCATAGATTAGACCAGGTACAATTTCCATCTGCTTTGAACGCATTTTTGCCTAAGAAGAGTGGTGCGCGCGTGAACCTCTTCTTGTCGCAGTCAAAAACCGCTTAGTGACGCTGACTGTCGCAATGAGTAACCAACGCATCATTCACCCCAAGATCATCAACGATGGCACCTAAAATAGGGCAAAGTTCTCACCAACTTCGTTCATTCGAAAAGCGTTGAAATGGTAACGTCGCAGGACTGCATCAATTGCGTCCTCGGTGTGATGGTGAACCTGACAAACGCAGCATTGGAACTGCGCTTCAACTGACCACCTCTATCGACGCTGTTTTCTTCCTTGTTGATATACCATTTTCATTTTGAAGTAGGCGTTTTTCAAACCAAACTGCTGGATTCAGCATGTCAGAATAGGCGAGAGAAACACCAGTTGGTAGCACGAACATAGGATCATTCTTAGATTGTCCGGCATGTAGATTCTGGCGTTGTCTATAATTGGCTATGTACTGTTCCTCTTCACTCTGCAATGTACACGCGTCACCAGTTCTTGGACGAAAATCGAGGATAAGTTTATCGGAATTTGTCGGTTTCTTAAGAATATGAATATGATACTGCTGAAGATATTTTGGATAGTAGGAAAATGGCTTCACCATAAGTATAAGGTGTGAGTAATTAGTTTTTACAACCATTGACGGTTTCTTTGCTCATGGCTACTCAAGCATATCGGATGGTGCAGTTTCAAGTTACAAATTCACAAATCCCAAATTTGTAATTTGCATCTTTCTTCTCCTACTCATCAGCATATGTAAACATTTATTCTGTCTTCACTATGCCCTTGTGCACAACCATGCGGATTATAAAGCACAATCGTGACGTTTGTTTATTTGCATCACTGTGGTTAACCGAAGCATCGTTCTAGAAGCTCATGATGATGTATTTCACCGTTGACATGGTGGCCGCTGGTGTCCGTCTCACGGTTGCCCCAATTCACCGCTGACCAGCAATACAGACTGCTGGCATTATTTCGGCTCACAGTTGCGCTACATTGAGGCTACGTCTACAAACCTAGTCGTAAGTCATTTATGCACCTTTAAATTTACTGCTATAGGACCACGTTTGCGATTTCCGCTACATCGGGTTTTGCTCCTTTTGTCCTGAGAATCAAGCCGTGGATGGGACTAGGCTCATAGAGTGCAATACTTCGACTATCAGAACTTACAGTTGATTAGTGGACGCGCAATTATCAATCCTGATGACCATTCGCCTACTACTGATGTTCTTTCTGGTTCCAATGTTCCTGTTGCTGACCGCTTAGCTGCCACTGAGATGCGTATACTAGACTTAGAATCACTGTTATCGAAGACCAGTTTGATGAGTGACGATAGTAAAATTCTCACCCCACACAAGTTGGACGGACAGACTTAGTTGATCTTTGTCGACGATCGAAGCGCTGTCGATAATAACATTGTGGCTTCACCTAACAAGACCTAACTAACCGCATGCTCACATGAGTCAGCTTAGCGTTATGGTTCCCGTCTACCCTCCGTTGGTGCACATGTTCTACCCTCCTGCGCGGTGTCTTCGCACACGAATAATCAGTCCACATCAACGAGATAAGCCAATGCATGCAGCCAATTGGATCCATAGCGCTTTCAAATTCCTCCTTAAGGAACTCATATTCCTCCATAGATCTTTCAAACTGAATCAAACGGGCGTAAACACCGCTAAAAATTACCTACTGTCCGTTAAGTGACCACTCTCAAATAAGCTGTTATTATAATAGACGAGCATAGAGTGTGGAATGATACTGTCTGATTTGGACTTGGTCACTCAATGAACCGTGGCATTTAGTGGTGTTCGTGACTCCTTGATTCAAGTTGAAAGATTTTGTAAAATCTATGGAAGAACATGATTCTCTTAAGGAGGAATTTGTAAGCGTTCTAGATTCCATTGGCTGCAAAAGGGTATAGTGGGCTTCCGAAACGGGAGACTGTCCGATTTGACGGTGACCCAATGTAGTACTAGTTTTTTATCCGCAGTTTCCAGTCCAATGCTCTGACCTTAACCGATGTATCGGGAGTGCTGTTGTCGTATTTGATGTACTACTGACGTGGACCTAAAGAGACTCGATAGCGGGATAGTACAGCGCCAAGTATATAGAAAAAGCTGTTGGAACGGCCAGTGCACGAACTTCCACAGCTTCGTGTTACTGAGGCTGAAACGGAATTTAATTTAAAATCTAGTCAGTAGAGCAGAAAGAATCTGTTTGCGTGATATACATGCAGTTGAACTACAGTGAATACGCACGATGTTGCGGGAAAGTGGTTATTCAGATGCCTTCATAATAGCCCACATGGAGAAGAGGATGAACACACCGGTGGTCTTAATGGATAGCAGAAGAGCAATTTCCCTACAACTCCCTTACAAAGAGTAAATCGCTGTCGAAATTCTTAATCGCCGTCTATCACTGGAACTCAAACGGACATTCTCAGCAATAAAATGACACCTACTTTACCAGCACAACGATGGTGAGGCTCAGCATCAAGGATAGTAGACCTGTCCATGACAACTCCATATGCATCTATTCATTTACCTGTTTCCTGTGGAGTAGGATATATTGGTTATACGATTAGAGAATGAAAGAACACTGTCCGTCATGGTTAGCGACTGGATGCAGTATGGTGTGTAACAGCTATAGTTGACCACCTCGCCGACACAGGGCACAACCCTAGACTAACCGAAGCATACCAAATAATCTACAAAGCCCCGGATAATCGATCTAGGTATATGCGCAGACGGATATTAGAAGCCGCTGAATCTATAGCAATCCGGTTGTACGAACCAAAGTTGTGCACTCAGAAGAGATTTGCTCAGGCCTTATAATTGTCTTGGCCCGATCGAACAGTGATTTTTACTCAGTTGGATGGCGTGAAGGTGCCGACATCGACCTGATTAATGGCGGTAGTTTACCTCTTCTAAAGTGATTTTACCCCGTTTCAACAAACCCAGCAGTTTGTCTAATCGATGTAACTGTTATAGAATCGTAGTAGCCCGATGAAGAATTATCAAAAACATATGTTCGCTAACAGGCTTGATTATCTTTATGGGTTTCTTTAAAATCCTATATTTCTTAATATCACATACGTTTGATTGATAGAGTGGGTTGTAAGGTATATTTCCTCAGATGACAGATGGCTAATCGAAACAAAAACAATTTGCAGGCGACGAGAAAAGCAAGGACGAAAACCAAAGACAAGGTGGTACGAAAAAGTGACAGTCGGAAACTGCCCGTAATACAAAGGCTTCAGTGAACATTAAGTTTAAGCAAAAACCCATACCTAACTGCACAACTTCCCGAGGAGTCTTCACAGTTTGGGATGCGATTTGCTCTAGCTGGGCCATCAGGGCACGTACCAGTTCCCCATGAGCACGTTCCAAATCGACCAGCCGTGAGCTCTGGGAAAACACTGCAATCGAACGTTCGGCAAAGTCTGCGTAGCTCCTCACAATCTGCAGCACACCACACCGACTCTTTTTGCTCGGCTTACTATCGTTGAAAGACTGGATCAACTTTTCCTGTAGGGGATTAGAAGTGCTCAATGATATGGAAATAGATAAGGGGTGCAACTTTTTTTAAAAATATCCCTTAAATGTCGAAAACGTGGTACCGGTCGATAGCGGAGTGGTTCAGGCGTTTGGATCGTAGTCCGCGACCAACAGTTTGGGTTTGTGTAAATGCGAATAAGTTCGCAATATCATAACCGGCATACAACCGCTAGTGACTGCGTGGTAGTGAAAAATCGGTACGAAGTCCCTCTCTTCCTCCTTTGAAGAAAACGTCCTTTTATAGTAATGGAAACACTGTGGCACTTTCCATCTAGCTGCTTTTACGTTTACGCTGAAGTTCGGCCACCATCACAGCCAGTTTGTGAAGCAGCAACATTGTAGAGATAAAAACAAGTAAGATGGATGTATTAAGGTGTCAGCAGCGAAGTTTAGGAGTGGCCAATAAAGTCCATTAGATGCAAACCGAAGATAACTCTGTTGTATCGAACAGAAGAACAGTGCTTCCTATGCAGTTCCAGTGCAAGAAGTGGTTTTGTGAGGTGAAACAAACAGAATATATTGGACAGTAAGTTGGAATGGAACATAGCGGGTTATGAAACCCAGTTGATAGGTCCCATAATGTAGAACCCCTGATTTAAACAACAGCCCTACCGGTTTGTTTGAATTTGAATACTTTGGTGGCAACTTCGGCGGTTTGCAAGGTTACCGTGAGCAGTAACAATCTGCGTCGTACAAGACAACGAGACGTTCGGTTCGGATGACAAAGCGTCTACCTGATCTGACGGCTTGCTCGGTACGATTCAAAAGTAGCGATTCTCCCTAACATCTAAAACGCCTCGAGGGGGCCATACATCTAGACAATGGCGTCCTATTTGCAAAAAGTGAATCTCCCACATGATACACTAAACCTGCTACAATTAAAAAGAAACACAAAACAATGGATAAGGCAAACTCAAGCCCAGATGGCAGGATATAGCTGGAGGATGAACACACGTAAATGCGCAATTACAATGAGTTTATAAAAGCCGAAAAAAACACTCCGATAACCTGCTCGCTGCCCTACAGAAGAACGAACGGTTGAGGGAGCTCAGTCTCAAATAGTCGAAAACAAGTGGTTCGACTCATAGGGCTGGAAGAAGAAACCATTTCTGACTAATTGGAAAACAAATAAACCAAGAAATTGCCTAACCTATGTTTCTGACCAGTTGGTTAGTCATGACTCCATATGATGAAACGGAATCGTGCTAACGATTGCGACGAAGCTATGAATAGAGTAGTCGAGTCAGAAAACAAGGCCAAGTCGAGCACGAAGATGGTTTGGTACACCATGTTCACCAACCAGTAGCCCACAATAAGTTTAACTTCATGGAAGAAGTTGGACAAAGGTGTGAAAAGCAACCCAGAATAGTTTTTCGGTTAGCATGTGCCCTAGCAAGTAAAAAGGGGCTCAAGTGAAGCGACAGGTGCTATCGTGTCTTCGACACCAGCAGTGCAAGGCAAGTGGGCTAAAAATCAATCAATCGGTAAACGTATGATGTAAACAACTTTCCAGATGAGGCTATCTTAACGACAACTGGAAATGTGGCAATATCGTACGGCAGCTCATAAGCACCTCCACTCGCAAGCTGAACTCAATGTGAAGGCGGCCTACTCATCGACGAGTTTGGATCGATAGAGATCTATCGTGATCATATCAAGACGACTAATCAGTGATCGTCCGACGCCAGACTAAACCTCCGTGAGACAAACTGCAAACAAAGGCATACTCTACTTGTATCTGCGCGAACTATGGCTAAACAGATGACTACCGATCAAACTGTAGCAAAGTTAAGGTGAAAATGAGATTTAAAATGAATCCGGAAAAATGGGTTGTGTACGCAAGAGGAAGGTCTTACGATGTAGCGATTAAAAGATCGCTTTGCAATCATGGTAAACCGAGAAAGAGTGAACACTACGAAGGAGGAGTTTTCGTATTCGCCATCAACAGTTGTCCCCAGTTGGCCACCACGACGCGCTTCAGCTTCGGCGTGACGCGATATCACTACCAAGATTGGCATGATCACTGTGGGCTGAATTTGTTCACACGCCGAGGTGAAATTGAGTGCGTCAGTCTCGATATCCCGAAGGAGATTCCACATGCACCCATTCAGAGTTTCCATGTCATCCGCTGTTTGGTGAACGTACTAGGTTGGAGGGAAAAGGATGGTAAGCACGCACGTGTCAACACCGATAATCAGTAGAAGACAATAGTGTCCGAATCAACATCACCACTCTACATGTTAACTATTATGCGGCAATACAACCCAATCAGGTAGTGGTAAAAAAGGGAAAAGTACAAAAGCAAAACAAAACAAAATGCGTCGTTTTGCAGTATACATTGATTACAAGGTTGTGGTTTAGAGAAGGTCGAGCGGAATGGGAAGGAACAAACCAACTCAAAACACAAATGCAACGGGGGTCGATTGTCCACCATGTCCGCAAGTGTATGCAAACTAATGTATTCATCGTCCTTCAAACCTGACCACGATGTCGAGAGGCTCTGACGCGGGCCAACGTAGAAGTGAGGGCCTTCATTCCTTTCGACCAAGTAGTGGGTTTACGTCCTTCCTTCTCTTTTTGATACAGATACGGTCACGTAAGCAATGCACGACGCAGGAGTCAGTGTGCTGGCACGCCTAACACAGGACCAAGTCATTGGAGTCTGGTGCGTGAACTAACGGTGACCAGACGCACCATAAACAAGGTGCTGAATACGCACATGGCTTACACTGTGTTAACAGAAGATATGAGCCACATAACGAAGTCACCGATGATCGAACGTAACTGGCAACTCTAGGTCTGTCTAGCTGATGGGCCAGGATTTAAAAGCACACAGTAGAGTTGAACGAACGGCGCCAATGTAAACCCGACACTTCAAGACGAAGATGATGTCGCGCCAGCACCACAAGTGGGAAAGGTGAGCAAAAACACCTCAAGTTTCGGCTACACTGTTTATCTCTCCTGTTCTACAGGCCCAGATACCCTTTCCTAGATAGGATAACTTTTGAACAACTTCCAGTTGGTCCCGAACAAGGGTTAGTGCAACGGTAATCCCTGCCAATCACCGAGGAACCCATGGATTTCACAATTACAACTACGTCGTTTACTTCTGCTGCTACTTTCGCTGCTATTCGTGCTTCTCCATCACACACCAACTTCTCTCTTGTTGATAATCCACAACCTGTTGAATCTAGTTCCAATGCTAGTCTCGCTGATATCCAAATCATCCGGCCATCATCTATCCTTCGACCCCGTACTTCATTCCATCTGGCAGCATTCAATTTTCGGACCCTCCAACAGATTGGACAACAGGCTGACCTGGCGCGCACACTATAGTCCCTCGCCATGGATGCTTGTTGCCTTTCAGAAACTCGATTGCAAGATCCCAGCATCGTGGTTAAGTTGTCGTCCCAAGCTGCTTTTGAGACCACATAGTACCTACATCTGTCGAGTGACATGCAGGCAGCAGCAGCCGGTTTAGCTGGTGTCAGTATCGCATTGAGTGCCAAAGCGGAGGCTACATAACTCGACTGGTTTCCAATCGACAGTCGTATATGTGCGGTTCGGCTTCAAGGCTCATGTCGAATCAACAGACATCGTGAAGAGAGGCGTCCTCCTTCACCAACGCAAGTGTGGCCACAAATAGATCACATTGCACTCAGCTTTAGATGGCGAAGAAGTGTCCAGGGTTGTAGATAGATTTGGTCTACCTACCTCGATTCAGATTGTGATTTCGTCTGCGAGGACATCTGAATGCGCTTCGGCGACTCCTCAAAACGAAAGCTCCATCCGCTCGACAACAACAAGTTAGCTGACTCGCTACTCGATCAAGTTATCAAGCTTTCTTATCGCATGCATTCATTACTGCTCCACCTCGAGACATCGAAAATCATTGGAGTTTCCTGCGTGAAGCGATGCTATCTTCCAGTCATGCAATCTGCGGAATCACAAGGCGCCCTCGGAGAGGATGGATTTCCGCACACTCGCTGGAATTGACTGATCGTCGTAGAGCTATCCCGACAGATTCAAATAGCAGTGAATTGCGTTGCATTCTCAGCCAACAACTTAAGCAAAGCCTGAGTGCTGATCATGAAACTTGGTGGTCCCAGCGCGCCTCAGAGATGGGAACGGCAACCCTCTCTGGAAACTTTCGCAAGCTCTTCCAGGTCATTCGGGCCACTGGTCACAAAAGACCTGGTACCAGTGAGGTCATTTGCGAGGTTGACGGGGCGCCGATATGTAACTTGCACAGGCGCATGGACCGCTGGGCTGAACACATCCGCACTCAATTCAGCTGGCCTCCGCAGGCGAGCCTATTGAGTATACTTAGTTGCGCGCCTTGGAACGTCTCATTGAAACCATCCATTGAAGCTCAGGTCTGCCTTGGGCTCCAACAATTGAAGCGATTCAAGGCTGCTGGTCCAGACGGACTTCCTCCAGAGCTGTTCAAGTTCAGGGGCGAAGTAATTAGCAACTAGCTAACAACGCTGTTCTCAAAGATCTGGTGTGAAGAAACAGTTCCATCCGCTTGGGGGAGTCAATTATCGTCCCGATATTAAAGAAAGGTGCCCGTACCCTATGCGCTAACCACCTAGGAATCAGTCTAATGTCCGTTGCCTTCAAGCTGTTAACATCCATTCTACTCCGCAGACTAACCCCAATTCGAAAATTTCCCTCCTGTCAGGAACAGGCAGGTTTCCGCCCCGGTCGAGAGTGTATAGACCACTTGTTTACGCTCCGCCAACTCCTTGAAACGCGACATTTTTACCGCCAGCCCACTAGCGTTGTTTTTCTGGACATCCAAGCCCTTCGACTCCGTCGATCGGCCAGCTTTATGGCATTGCTTACAAAGGAATGGAGTACCCGTAAAATATATTGCCATCCTTCGAGCATAATATTGCAATGTCTCAGGTGAAGTGAGGGCTTATGGTAAGCTCTCTTCACCTCTTGCTGTCACTAGCGGTGTACGATAGCGTTGCCCCATGTCCCCGTTTCTCTTCAATTTTGCGACCGAGGATGTCCTTTTAAACACTCTCGAGGGCTTTTTGGGTTCTGGAACAGAGCTTCATTCTGACAACCGCGTGACCGATATAGATAATATTGATGATATTGCCTTGCTTGGCGATGCACAGAGCAGACAAGTCGTTCTAAACCGCTTGGCGATTGAAGTATCAAAATATGGAATGACGTTTGCCCTTACGAAATGCAAAGTCCTGGTCCTGGATTGGCATCCACCTGCCCCAGTGCTCACTCTTCAAGGTACGCAGCTTGAACAAGTGGACAAGTTTGTTTACCTGGGAAGCTGTGTCTCTCGTGATGGTAACATTGGAAAAAAGATTTCCTTCCGCATTGCCAAAGCCCGTTCGGCATTCGCCAACTTGAAGCATCTGTAGCGACGCCGTGACATTTCACTATTGGTAAACGGCAGGGTTTACAATGCCTGTGTTCACCCGGTGCTGCTGTTTGGGAGTGAGTCCTGGCCGTTTCGAGTGAATGACTTGCGTCGGATTTCGGCCTTTGACTATGGGTGTCTCCAAAGAATAGCTCGAGTGTGGTCGATGAATCAGGTGCGCAACGATGATGTTGGACGTCGCGTTTTGGGTAACACGGGACTTCAACTTGACAGATTGGCACCGCTGCGCCAACTGAGATGGTTGGGCCACGTTGTACGCATACCATGTGAACGGCTGCCCGACGCGCTCTCTTCGCTCGCGCAACACCAGGCTGGAAGAAATCTTACGGTGGTCAGACTATCACGTGGAGACAAACGATTAAAGCGCTGACTTCCAGGTTAGCTGTCGTAGGTCTCGTGCGTCTTTCGGGCTGGGGGATCGAAAATGAAGAACACCGCTGGCTGGAAACCGTTTCGGAGAAAACTCAGAACCGGGCCTAATGGAAAAGATGTACAAATATTTCTCTTGATTTTCGTGACAAACATTAAACAGGCAAAAAAGATAAAACAGCGTGTAAAAATAAACGAAAAAAATGAGATACAAATACACAAAAACTATTTTGCAACTTTCATTCTTTGCTTTATGGTCTCTGTATTTGTTATTTCCGTTTCGTGGTTGTCGCTGGCTCTATGTCTATCGTATAGACTGCCGATTTATATATATATATATATATATATATATATATATATATATATATATATATATATATATATATATATCGAGGAAAGCATCGAATTCGGAAGGTGCAAAGTAAAGCCCAAAACGGTTGACAGCCGATGCTAATCTGTCGAGTTCTGCTTAGCACGTTTGCTGTCACAGATTAGAGCAATATCATCTAGAAGCAGCAACTTCACAGTTTCCCAGTCGTGTTCAGTGGATGCAGTTGAAACAACTTCGTCAATAGTAAGGTTAGAAAGAAAAAGTGACAGCGGGCATCCCTGTCTTACACTGCTGGAGATATGGAAGGGCGGTGACAGTTTACCAAAGGCCATCACTACGAACTATGCGTACGTATTTCACGAGTACAGTTTTCTTAACCAAACGGTTACGAAGAGCACACTGATCAAACGTATCAAAGGCGTCTTTGGTGTCGAGGAACACGAGTACAGCGGGTCACCAGTATTTGCAGCGGTGTACTACAAATATATTGTAAAAGGTTTTATTTTGTTACTATGCCCTGTGAAATGTTTTGAAACAGTTTTTGTCACCTGTGCAACACAGTTACAGATTGCGTTTAGTACGCTTGAACCTACTGCGTCCTTTGCAACCCTCAACCTTGCAGCGTTGTTCCAGTCCCTTAGTGCAAGCAGAAAAATGCTCAAACTTATGATATCTGACTTCAGCAGTCTCTCTACAGGCTTTGCACACTTTGTAGGTAGAGAAGTAAACTTCACAGCAGATGTTGTTGAAGCCTCAGTAGAAGCTATGACTGGAGTTGTGGATGTGCGTGGTCTTTCCACAGGTTTGTATGGATTTAGTGTGGTCAAGTGTGCTTTCAATAAAGTGTTAGCAACCTTACTACAAAAATAGAGGAGATTCATGGTTTGATGTGCAATTTATAATTCTATTGTCTCTATCCTCCAGTCATGAGTTTGCAAGTGCAAGGATAAGAAAGTGAAAAATCATCCATAAAAGCCAATTCTTTGTTTCGACCTTATTTACGCACAAAAATGAGAAAATCGAACGTATAC